TATATTCCCCAAATGAACGAGACCATATAATGTTTGTCCTTCTCCGATTGACTTATTTCACTCAGCATCATACCTTCCAGTCTCATCCACGTCGAAGCAAATGGTGGATATTTGTCATTTCTAATGGCTGAGTAATATTCCATTGTATACATAAACCACATCTTCTTTATCCATTCATCTTTCGATGGACACCGAGACTCCTTCCACAGTTTGGCTGTTGTAGACATTGCTGCTATAAACATCGGGATGCAGGTGTCCTGGCATTTCACTGCATCTGTATCTTTGGGGTAAATCCCCAGCAGTGCAATTGCTGGGTCGTAGGGCAGGTCTATTTTTAACTCTTTGAGGAACCTCCACACAGTCTTCCAGAGTGTCTGTACCAGTTCACATTCCCACCAACAGTGCAAGAGGGTTCCCTTTTCTCTGCATCCTCTCCAAAATCCTAGAGGAGAACACAGGCAACACGCTTTTTGAACTCAGCCACAGTAACTTTTTGCAAGATACATACACGAAGGCAAAAGAAACAAAAGCAAAGAAACAAACAATCCAATCATGAAATGGGCAAAAGACATGAACAGAGAAGTCTCACAGAGGAAGACATAGACAGGGCCAACAAGCACATGAGAAAATGCTCCGCATCACTTGCCATCAGGGAAATACAAATCAAAACCACAATGAGATACCACCTCACACCAGTGAGAATGGGGAAAATTAACAAGGCAGGAAGCCTTTCCCATTTTGGAATTGGATTGGTTGGGGTTTTGCTATTGAGTTGTATGAATTCTTCATATATTCAGATATTAGCCCCTTATTAGATACATGATTTGCAAATATTTTCTCTCAATAAGTTACTTTAGTAGGATTGTCTCTTGACTCTGCTTCTCTCTCTGAGTCTACTTCATTCTTCACTTTGTGGGCCATTTCTCTCTCTTCTGTCTGCTGGGTCCACAGCAAAAAAAAAAAAAGTGCCTATTATATAGTCATTCCTAGAGAACTCATTTGCCTTCTTATTCCCACTCTCCATCCCCTGTGCCTCTTTCTCCCTTCTTTTCCTCATTTCTTCCAAATTCCTTGGCTTGGGTCTCTGACTAGCACCTCTTGGGTCAGCAGCCTACTGTTGGTCCAATCAGCTATGACTAGAGGATAGAGCCATGTTCTACAAACATGACACTAGGCTTTGATTGCTGTGGATGAAAGCAAGGGGAATGAATTCATGTAAGAAATTAAAGATGTTGCTGTGTACTGTGCAGCTATTCTCAAAGGTGACATGGATCAGAATAACATGAGAATGGAAGACTTTTTATCATAAAAAATTTCAACATATGCAAAAACAGAGCCATTAATATAATGAATCTCACCATCACTCAGATATGCATATTTACTCACATAAGTACAATGCTATTACTACACCTTAAAAAATCAGCAATATTTCCTTGATGTCATTTACTATTCCACCAACAGTTAAATTTCCCCAATGGCAGGAAACTTTCTTGTGGGTTTTTTTTTTAAGAAAATATCTTATTTATTCTAGAGAGAGGGTGCAGAGCGAGCTAGCAAGAGAGAGCGAGCATGAACAGAGGGGAGGGGCAGAGGGAGAGGGAGAAACAGGCTCCCCACTGGCAGGGAACCCAATGTGGGGCTTGATCCCAAGACTCTGGGATCATAACCTGAGCCAAAAGCAGACACTTAGCCGACACTTAGCGGAGCTACCCAGGGGCCCCATATTTGTTTTTTTTTTCAAACCAGGACTTAAAAAGACCCTCATGTTGCATTGGTTTTATGCCCCATAAATCTCTTTTAGCCTAGAGCAGTCTTCCTTCTCCCACTCTCTCACTAAGTTTGTATAACATTGACCTATGAGGAAATCATGTTAGTTGTTCCTACCAAATGTCCCACATACTGGATTTTGTCTTCCTGCTTCCTCATTGTAGTTTCATAAATAGAATTTACTTATAAGGGCTTGATTATTTCAACTTCAACATGTACACTTCACAGTGGGGCTATGTGTTTCCTGTGGCTTCAATGGTATTCAATTAGTGGTATTCAATGTCTAGTTGTTAGGTATTCAGTGTCTAGTTGTTAGTGGTATTCAATGTCTAGTTGTCCCACTCTTAGTTATGCTGACTGATCAGTGGGTTCAGGGGGTGACAGCTTGATGTCTCCCTTGTAAAGGTCATTACCAAACATTTGCCTAAAACTTTCACCCACTGACTACTTTTGCCTGAATTATTTATTTCATTAGGTATTACAAAATGAAAGTGAGATGATTCTATCAAGCGCCTATGTAACTTTCCTAGGTATTGCCAGACTCCATTGGAGTTATAACCACTTTGAATTCCAACCAACAATGTACAAAATATTATTATACTTCACTCCAGCATGACCAAACCAGTATGTTTTCAAAGTTCTGATCTTCACCGATATAATAGGTGGGAGATGTTATCTCAGTATGGATTTAATTGGCATTTCTCTTATGATGAGTGAGGATGAGGGAACTGGGTTTTGAAAAAGAAAAAAAAAAGGCAAGAAGGTCCTAGTGATGATAAAGATTTTGAGCATGCACCAACTTATTTGCTCCCTTTGGTCAAAAAATATCCTCACACCAAGCTTCTTCTTTCACCAGCAAAAATTCTTTCCTCACTTGTCATAATTCCAAGGAAATTCAATAGCACATGGCCCTCAGCCACACAAGATAAATTAGGATTTGAAAGCATAGCTCTCAGATAACAAATCGCTTGATGAATGTCATTCCATGACACCAACAGCGGAGCAGTGGGATTTCCAAGGAAGAACAAAAATCCACTACAAGGAAGCTCAATGTAAGTTTCTCATGAGTAGGTGGGCAGATTAAGCAAAGCAGCAAGATGAAATAATCATCTGGTTAGGAAGGCATTAAGAGAAGTAAGGCCGAATCATGAGCCCATAGTTCTTATTTTTATAGATACATACTTGAGATATGTAGCAAGTCCTGTAGATTTTTGAATAATGCAGCTGCATATGGAGAGAAATTCACATATAGTTTACACCAATTGACATTATACAATCAGTAGGGATTGTGGGAGTTAAGTATACGTGATCCAATTTAAAATATTGTATTACAGGGCACTTGGGTGGCTCAGTGGCGTCTGCCTTTGGCTCAGGGTGTGATCCCGGGGTCCTGGGATCGAGTCCCACACTAGGCTCCCCACAGGGAGCCTGCTTCTCCCTCTGCCTATGTCTCTGCCTCTCTGTGTGTGTGTCTCTCATGAATAAATAGATTAAATTAAAAAATAAAATTTTGGATTATAGATATTCTCACATGGCTTATTCTGTCTGAAATTAATTAATTAATTAATTAATTAATAAGTAGACAGTTTGGTTGCTCAGAAAGGCCTTAGAGGAAACAAGGAGATGTTGTTCAAAGGGTATAAACTTCCAGTTATAAGATGAATAAGTTCTAGGGAATCTAATGTACAGCATGGTTATTACAGTTAATAATACTATATTGTATAATTGAAAGTTGTTAAGAGAGTGGATATTAAGTGTTCTCACCACAAAAAGGAAATGGTAATTACAGGACAAGATGGAGGTGTTGGTGTGGTGGTAATCATTTTGCAACGTATAAATGTATCAAAGCAATGCACTGTACACCCTAAACTCACATAATGTTATATGTCAATTATATCTCAATAAAGCTGAGGGGGAAAAGGCCTTAGAAATTACTCTTTTGTAAGAGGTGGGGCACCTAGGTTGCATCTGTTGGTTAAGCATCTGACTCTTGGTTCAGCTCAGGTTGTGATCTCAGGGTCATGAGATGGAGCCCTGCGTTGGCTCCTCCCTCAGTGTGGTATCTGCTTGGGATTCTCTCTCCCTCTCCCTCTGCACCTTCTGCGCATGCTCTTTCTCTCTCTCTCTCTTTCTCAAATAAATAAATCTTAAGAAAATTACTCTTAGGGCTAACTCTGACCTTCAGATGACAGAAGGCCCCTTTCCCAAGTATATCATCTGATCAAGGTAGAAAAGGCTCAGAAAGAAAAGAAGGAAGGAAGGAAGGAAGGAAGGAAGGAAGGAAGGAAGGAAGGAAGGAAGGAAAGAAGGAAGGAAGGAAAGAAGAAAGAAAAAAGGGATTTTCTCATCAATACCAGCCTGTCTAAAGAGGGCTCAGTGTCTCTGGCTGGATAAACTTTTCTTGGTCTTTCTTCCTGGTCTTCACATCACTGTGGTCCTCCAAAATGGGAGTTTCAAAGACTCGAGGATAGTCAACCAAAGTTACTCTATTCTTTTCTTCCACCTAGAGATGCATCCCTGAACTAATTGTGCATACTCAGATGTCCCTCCCACCTGCACCAGCTCCTTCCCCAGAAAGCATAATGCTGGAAAATCTCCACAGCAGCCTTTCTTCATCAATGTCTAGGAGGCTCAACCAGGGATGGGCTGCCCTCCCCCACCGTGTTCAATTGCTTTCCATTCCCACTGACATCTTCCATTTTTCATGCATTTGACCCATGCACGTCCTACTCAACTGTTCCATTACATCTGGACGTACCTGGGCTCATTCAGCATCTGAACACTTTTTGAGCACCTGTTATGATCCTAGCCTAGCATTACCATAAGCAGCTTCAGCAGGAAATAGGCATCCGTCACAGCAAAAGGTAGTGGCGTGCTCCCTGAAAGGAACATCGGCAGCCAGAGAGGGTGAAATCTAGGGTGTTATACAGGGTTGCAACCCACTTCTAGGGAGCTCAGCTTCAGCACTGCAGCCCCAGACATGAAACATCACTGAGTAGACTGTGTGCTCAACCTGCTTTCATATACTTCTGAGTCACACTACGGTCACTTAAGGCTGAAGTGTGTGGTCACTTCATCACCCCACCCCTCTCATTTCCTGAATCTTGTGAAACTGTTTTGAGTCCTGCAGAGCCGCCTGGTCTCACTCCTACCAGCTGGCGGAAGAATCACTTCCAAACTCTGTGAGGCCCCTTCCTCCACTTCCATCCTTGGAGCTGACCCGGGGCTTGGGCATGGATTACAGGGATATCCGAAGGCTCCCCACGGATCTGCCCTATTACCATGGCCCTCTGTCCAAGAAAGACTGTGAGACCCTGCTGCTCAAGGATGGGATAGATGGCAACTTCCTGCTAAGGGACAGCGAGTCTTTGCCAGGAGTTCTGTGCCTCTGCGTCTCGTGAGTAGTCTCATCTTTCATACCTCAGAACCTTACCCTGAATGCGGTGCTGATACAGCCAAATACCAAAGAAATTGCATTTCACTCTGCCCTTGTGGCCCAAATGAGCAGAATGTGAACAAGGTGGGCAGTACTTGAAGAGCCTGCAAGGAGAGTGTCTGTCCCAGGTCCTCCACCTGCCCTTCTCTCCCTGGTGCAAATGCCACCCCAGCAGACCCTCTGCAGCAGCAGCGGTGTGGGTGGCAGCGAAGGGAAGGACTGCGAAGGCCTAGAGGTGAGGCGGATACAGGGAAGGTGCCCTTTCCCATAGAGGTTGGCTTATTTGCTCTGGAAAAGGCTAGATGTCCTTTATGAAATTTTAACCTGAGAGACTTAAGTGTTCACATTTTTCTGCGGGCTCCACTTGGGATACTTAAAATACGATTTCAAATCTTGTTAAGGTTCGTACAGAGCCTCAACATGCATCATATCCTTTCATCCTTCCTATAGCCTATCAAGGCCAGCATGAGCATTTTCTAGGTGAAGAATCAGAGACCCTGATTTCTCAACCAACTTGCTCGTATTAAAAAACTCCCCTGGCATTTCCAAAGAGTTCAGCGTGAAATTCCAGTAGCTCGCCTGCTGAAGGAGCTTGTTAGTCCCGTTTAGGAAACAATCCTGGACAGGTACTCATGGGAACCTACTATCTTTAAATGTTCTGTTTAGAGAGATCACTGAAATTTTTCTTCTAGCAGCTAGAGGAATAGAAACCCAAATGTGTCTATGCGTATGCATTAGTGCTTCTGAGTGTGAGGACAAAAGGGATTTGATACTAACGAAATAGGCAGAGATCTCTTTTTTTTCTTTATATGATACCAAGGATGCAGGTAAAAGAAAGGTAGCCTTAAGAGGGTTAGCAGTTTGAATTCTCACTCTCAGGGATGAAGAGAAAGTTTACATGTATTTTTTAGCCACTGGTAATTCCTCTTTTGAGAATTGCACAATCACCTTCTTCACCCATTTTTAGCTTGAGTTGTTTGTCTTCTGTTTACTGTTTTTTTTCCTCTTAGTTTCTATATAGGAAGGTAAAATATTTTTTTTTCCTAAAGGACACTGGCACAAAAGAAAACTATAGAATAATTTCACTTAAGATCCATTTTCAATAAACTGCTAACAAAACAGGAGCCAGTAACACATTAAGGAAGAAAATACACTAAGTTCAAGTTTGGTCCGTTCCAAGAAGTCAAGGATGGTTCCACATTGGGTAAATTAGTAGGTTAATTACATATTAGTAGGTCAAAGTTGACAAAATGCATAACTCACTCAAATGTGCTTAAAAGGTATTAGAAAAAATTCATCACTCATCCCTTAATTAAATACACACACATACACATGCACGCATGTACTTACATATTCTTAAAGATTCAAAGTTAGATAGATATAATATTAAATATATAAATAAAATATAATATATATATCATATATAATATAATATTTTAATTAGATATTAAGAAAATAGATGTTTAATTAGATTAATTAAATATTATCTAATTAATATCTAATTATCTTAATTTCTTAATATCTGCTGCTAAAATAATGAATGAGCTGATTACACTCATTACCAGCAGTACTATGGAGCATTTTCTGGGAGATTTGGGCAAGTGTTATTAGCCAAAGGAAATCAAGGTAAAGTTGAAAAGAAAGACACAAAATTATTATAATTTGCAGTTGACATGATTTTATGCCTGTGAAATCTAAGATTTAATTGAAAAAAAACCTAAAAAGTAAATTTAAGAAAATTCAATAACAACATCTGCTTATAAAATTGAAATCAAAATCATAGCTTTTTCATTAAGAAAAAAAAACAAAAAAACAAAACAAAACAAAAAACAAAAAGAAAAAGGAAAAAAGAAAAAAAAAACTAGAAAAAAAAAAAGAAAAGTAACCAGGAAGAAAATATGATAAAACAGGTAATTTACATTAGCAATAATAATAATAATAATAATACCCAGGGTTAAATGTGATGCGAAATGTGTAAGGTTTGTCTGAGAAAACTTCAGAACCTACTGAGGAATTCACTAGAAGATGTACATCGAATTAGAGACTCAGTTTAGAAGCATATCAGCTTACCATAATTAATCTATAAATCTGATATGTTTCCAGTAAAAAAAATCAACAGAACTTTTAGCTTTCTTCAAGAATCATAAAACGCATTCAGGTGGGACGTGGAATGCAGGAAACTTGCTAGAATAGCCAAAAAAAATTTTTATTTAAAAAAGGGGACTAGAGGCACCTGGCTGGCTTAGTCAGGGAAACATCTGACTCTTGATCTCGGGGGTTGTGGGTATGGAGACTACTTAAAAATAAAACCTTAAGAAAAGGGAGGAAATAGCTCTAGCAAATATTTAAAAACATTGTAAAATGACTGATTTCTACAGTAATTGAGTGTTTGGTACTGAGGATCCTGGTTGACTCAGCTGGAGGAGCGTGTGATTCTTGATCTTGAGGTCATCAGTTTGAGCTCCATGTTGGGTGTAGAGATACTTAAGTAAATAGAAATTTCAAAAAAAAAAAAAAGAGTTTGGTGCTGACAGATCAATGGAATAGAAAACAGAATATGGTAGAAATAAGGCCAAATACATTGGAATTTAGCATATGATTAAAAGAGTATTTCAGGGGCATCTGGGTGGCTCAGTTGGTTAAGCGTCTGCCTTCAGCTCAGGTCATGATCCCAAGGTCCTAGGATTGAGCCCTGCAGCAGGCTCCATGCTCATCGGGGAGCTTGCTTCTTCCTCTCCTTCTGCCTGCTGCTCCCCCTATTTGTGCCCTCTCTCTCTCTGGGTCAAATGAATAAGTAAAATCTTAAAAAAAAAAGAGTATTTCACATCAACAATGATGAACAACCATGAATGGTGTTGGGGCGCTTGACTGGTGGCTTTGGAAAAAAATACACCTGAATTCCTTTCTTCTTAAAGTAAAGTTATTTCAAAGTGGTTCTAATGCATACATTTTTTTTTGAAACATGAAACCACTAAGAAGAAACAATGAACTATTAAAATATATGCTTGGGGTTGAGAAGGGCCTTTCTAAGCAGAATGGAAAGCCCAGAAGCCAAAAAAGAAAAGTCTGATGAATCTGACCACTATTAAAAAAAAAAAAAACTGCTGATAATAACACTTAAAAGACTTATCAACAAAAAAAATTTTTTTAAAAAGACTATCAACAAACTGACAGGACAAGTGAACCCTATGAACAGATAAATGCTTTTAAAAATTAATACAAAACTAGGGAAAGGGAAAGAGAAGGAGATTCTTTGAAACAGAAATGCGAAAAGTAAAGATAAGGAAAAATGCTAGATCTCATAACTGAAGAAATACAAACTGGAAAAATAATGAGATGCCATTTTTACCTATTCAATAGGCAAGAATTAAAACTATGGAAATGCCCAAATGAAGTTAGGGTGTCAGGAAGCAGAAACCCTCACACAGGCTAACACAGTCTCTTCCGATGGTGACGTGGCCCAAGCATAAAATACATGGATGTAACCCTTGACCCTAAATTCACTAATAAAAACCTATCTTGGCTGGCTCAATTGGTAGAGCATGTGACTCTTGATTTTGGGGTTGTGAGTTCAAGCCCTGCATTGAGTGTAGAGATTATCTAGAAAAAATTTTTTTGTAAAAACATCTATCTTACATGACCTCACAATAGCCTACCTTATTTTACATGTGACAGCAAGAGTATGTGCAAATTGATAACAAGATTGGGTAAATGTGTATGTGGCATGAAAAAACCTCCCAACATCTATTGTAAGAAAAAGGCAAGATGCAAAGCATGAAGCCATTTGTGTAAAAAAAGAAAAAAAAAGAAAAAATAAAGTATGCCTGGATCTTTGTATATTCATACAAAATCTCTAGAAGGTATAGAGGAAACTTGTAATAGTGGGTTACAGTTAGGAAATTAAGAAAGAATGACTTGGGGGAAAGGTTGTGAATTTATTCATTTGATAGCTTTGCACTGTTCAAATGTTTTATATATGCACATATTACTTTTGTAACTAGAAAAAATGTCTAAAAAGGTAGTGAATCCCTATTATCTATTCAAACACTGTGCTAGGACCTAGAGAGATTCCCATAGGGAACCTGCAATTTTTTTCAAGAGATCCAAAACATGTAAATAGATTTAAACAAGGTAAAGTTTAAGAAGAGACAGTTTTATGCACATGGAAGGGCAGAAAATATGAGCAGGAGAGTCTTCTTAGAGGGGGTGGGATTTGAGCTGAGAAGATGGTAAGATTTGAGCACATGGAAATGGGATGGAAGTCATGTTAGGGAGGGGAGGGGGTAGGAATGGAGGTCTAGAGGTAGGATGTTTTAAAGCACAGATCAATCATACAGAGATCCTGAAAGGTAGCTTGGAGACCAGCTTTGGGAAAAGTAGGTTGAGGATAATATTATAGGGTCTGAGAAGAATGAGTCCATAGATGGCAGGAGGATATAGATGGTTTCTGGGCAGGGAAGTGACAAGACTAGAACTCCCCAAACTCTCTAAAACTGGAGTTTTAGGAACTCCAATCTGGTGTGGAGGATGCACCAAAGCTGACAGGTGATGGTGGTTAAGACTGTTGTGTCTCCAGCTGGGAGATGGTGAAGAACTAGCGATGGGGGTGGGGTGGGGGACAAACAGTGGGAATGGGAAAAGAAGGTGCAAGGGATGTCATAGAGATAGGAAGACTTTGATCCAGACCTCAGGGTAGGTAGTCTTTACTGGGATTCTCTTTAAAAATCAACATTTATTTTCAACTATTTTATGGAGTAGCAACCCAGCTCATGTGTTCTTCTAAAGCAAAAGTGACTAAGAAATGTAAAAAATAATAAATCAGGGGTGCCTCGGTGGCTCAGTCAGTTGTGTCTGCCTTTGGCTCAGGTCTTGATCCCAGCGTCCTGGGATGGAGAACCACATCGGGCTCCCCGCTCAGTGAGGAGCCTGCTTCTCCCTCTCCCTCTCCCTCTAACCTCAGT